CGCTCAGGAAGTTCTTGAGAATCTGCTAGATGATCTTTTCTAGATGAGAATGAAATCGTTCTACAGTCTGTCTTCAACAGATTTTCAGATTTCACTTACATCAATCGTTTCGTTGTTTTAAAATTATTGACCATCTTTTGAGACAACAAGAATTTTTTCATGCATCATGTACACTTGTTTCATGTTTATGTCTACTTTTTCCTCATGTGGGTACTATCTTCATATCGTTGGTATTAATTCCAGCTTCGCGAAACGCGATCTCACTCTCGGACGCCGGGTTCGCGCTGCTCGGTTTAAAGGACCAGATTCTCGTCGACAACTCAAGGTTCGTCGTTGGCGAGAAATTTGAAGAAAGTTTGACAGTAGGTGTGCTTGTTTGTCAATTGGTTGACCGCTGACCGGAAATGTGAGCCCTTATCCTCTGCACCGGTAAGCAACGCAGTTTTTTTCTTTCCTAGCGTTCACAAGTTAAACTAGCTGCTAACACTGCAGATGAAGTCTGGAATGTCGATTACTGCTTTTAAACTTTATGTTAACATCATATAATTATTTATTTAATAGTTTCAATATAGTTTACATCTGCACTTCCTTTCATACATTGGGAATTTTAGACTCTATCTGCATGGTCTTGAATGGTTCTAGTTTCTAGAACACAGGTTTAACATATTAAACTCTCGAAACAAAATAATAGCTATTACCACTGTTGCTCATTTAGTATGCTTTAAATTATGAAACAAATAATTATCGCTCCAAACCCTGAGCATTATGTTGAAGTCATAATTTCCATACATAAGTGGAGAAGAATCGTAAGACGTAAGACTTGAAAATCTCAGTGGTATTCAATTCGAAATTCAAGAATCAAGGACAAAACACATTCTATTTATTACCTCGTCTTGTGTAGAACGCCAGGGCACAGCGAATCTCGTTGTCTGACAATTTTCGACAGAGATGAACAAATCTATGGGCTCCAGTGGAATTATTTATTTAACGCGACAGTTCCACCCTCTAGGCAATTCTATCCTCTAGGGCATCCATCATGATGTAAAACACTTTGTGCATTTGTGAATCTCTTAGTGATATACTATGTATTCGCCTTTATTTAGTGTCGTAGAGGTGATTGAATGCATATTTGGCCTACATAGTGACTTGCAGTGACTTTCTGATGTATCAAGTCACTGCTTTTGCCTTCCCTGACAACTCTGCCATCAATCTGCCGACCCGAACGGATGGAGAACTTGGTGAGCACATGGCACGGAGTCGAACCGACGACCACATGCGTTACAACACAGAAGCTTCTGTGGCCATTGCGCCACACGCACCCACGTGACAATGAATGGTATAGTGTTAATGCAAAAAATAACGGGGTTACTAAAAAGCAGGTCGTAATCCATTCAAGATATGGTAACTAAGCAGTGAATATTACAAATTTTACAGCTTAGGAGAACTTACAGTATCTAGTCTATAACATATACAGTTACATCCTACTTTACTAACTTGGATGCTTCGATGGCCTGTGCTCACTGGTTGTGTGGGCCCCAGCACAATCTCCATTTTTTCAAGGTTTTGCATTTGTCACCATGCAACTAGTTTGATACCAGAATGGTGATGGATCCTGGTGCTGGTTTACTATTAGTTGGGTTTCCTGATGGAGAAGCCGGACTCGCTCTCAGCTTGAGGGACACCCCGCCGAGAGGATGAATTCCCCAGCTGCACATCGCTCCCCGACACCCAGGAGCACCTTCCAGCCGCGATGATGCGGTAAACCGTTGGTAGAGGGGGGGGGGGGGGGGGGGGGTGGGGGCAGCGTACTTTAAAGGATTTATTTGTAGTGCTTTATTGAATCGATATTTTTAGGGTTTTAAATTCAGATGTCATTTTAGTACAATTTTTGTCGATATTCATGCAAGTTATCAAAAATGAAGCCGTACGAACCCGCATAATTCTTGTCAAGGAACTATTTTTTAAAGGACACTCTACTTATGTTGTTAAAATGTTAGATGTCGTCCGCTTAATTCTCATTTAGAAAAATGTGTTCTCCAATTATCTTAATCTGGATTGAAATTTCGAGTCAATGTTTGAAGACAACGGCGAAAAAAAGGACGAACCTTTGCATCCAAACATGGTTTGAGGCAGTTGAAATCGCTGCTATTATTCGTGAAATTTACCGAAAGATTAGGATCATCAGACAATCTGGAATAGGAAGTGGGCTAATAGACAGATGACCCAATTACTAGCCATTCTGACAGAAGACTAAGAAGTCACTTGGCACCCTTCGTGCAGAAACAGTTTCGCTTCATTGCAATTCTAAACAACGACTAGTTTGCGCGTTCATTTATTGCGTCATCATAAGCAGTCGCCATTAACGGAATGTCTTTGTCAGACGTCTACAGCAACACCGCCAATTCTGTTTCACAATCACATTGAAGCTAATGTCGGTTTTTTCCAATTACCTACTCAGGAGACCCCTCCAGCTAGTTTTGCCAGTGCCACTTAAATGGGATCCTTCTTTGTCTATGTCTAAGTGGGAAGAAAACGTGTTTGTTACTTATTCGTCGAGAGACATCTTTTGCTGAATGGAACCGTTTGTAGGTTTTATAACCAGAGATTTGACCACTGTGTCATTTCTGGATCTATTCCTTCACACCTTTGACCTTTCTGAATACACAGTTTATAACCTTGCGGCTATAAAATTGGCGTTTATTTAGAATGTATTGGTAATACAATAAGTTGATGTTTTCCTCTTGAGCAAACACGAATTTCTTTTTGAGCGGACACGGGCAGACACCGATCTATCTATTTTGCACCTCAATTGGCTGCCCTAGTTGATGAAGAAAATGAGATAATTTTATAGTCTAAACAGGGTAGGTAGGCGTGATGTCTTGTTTTTGTCAGTTACAGTTCTTTTTGAAGCGTTTTAGAACTTGTGGGCGAATTCCTAAGTGATATATTAATCTATGTGTTAGTTAAAGAGATCACAAAAGGCCGCAGCAACTGTCTTCTTGAGCCAAACAGATGAATGTAAGATTCCGTATTCGCCATTTAATAAACAGCTTCCTAGAACGGCGTGAGGTTGCCTTATGCTCTTTTTTAGTATACTGTAGAGTTCCTTCTTTCTTGAGGACTACAGTACCTTTATAGAACTTTCTAGGTACACAAAAGATGCGGTCACCGTATTTTAGGAAGCGATCCGTCTTGATTACTTTCCCTTGTGCCGTAGATTTTTTACAACTGGGTTATCTTCTGATTAATTCGCCGTACTATTGTTTTCCTACGTCGCTGTGCTCTTTGTGCATTGTTTCTTCTTCGCTAACACTTTTCGGCAAGTTAACAACGTTGTAAACAGAGGAAGGCTTAGTAGGAAATCTCCACCAGTGTTTATGCTATTTCTTCTTATAGAGCTACCACATTATTAGCTAAAGTGTTCGCCGGCGAACAAGGAATGTTAAGGAGGGCTTTAGAAGCAATCAAACGCTTCTTGGTTATAGGTAAAAGTTCCGACAAGACAAATAGTACCTCGGCCTGAGCTGTTAATCATCAAGTAACTAAAAGGCCACCAGTAAAATAGCCAGTGGTCCCTTGTGTAGTGAAATGCTCAGATGGATAACAAAAAGACACAATGAGCACCATGTTTTTTCCTACAAGGTTTTATATTTTACAATTTTTTGCGAACAGTTCTCTACAAGTTCCTCATGAGAATTTGATATATCGTAGGCAAATGTCTACTATTCGTTGGTTTTACGAAGCGAGCTGTAAATTGGGAGACCTTGGCAGAAGTTGAAGCTTTTGTACCCGGCATATGTCGTAGTTCGAAACCCATCAAAGTCATTTGCTAGTTTAAGTGTATCTTGAAGAGTTGGCTTCCAGCTCAAGCGAAATCAACCGTATAGTTGTGTGGTCCTGAAGGTGTGTCTTTTAGTGCTGTTGAGAAGACGAACTTTAAAATCAATATCTATCTATAATGAACCGAAAACTCATAAGTGAGTGTAGTTTTTCTGCTGAAATTCCTCATCATTGTGGAAGTTTCCTATATTACGCCTTCATTCAGAAGGCCGATAACTGAACTTCACGTTCACTGCGGTCATGACTATAGTCTTTCAAGTTAGCGTTTATCTGCCCTACTTGCAACCCTTTCTTTATTATTGTATAGTCTCAAGATCTGCAAGATTTTTCAGTATGTGACAGTTATTACAAACAGTGTGGAGTGCAGTCTCTTCTCGAATAATATCGGGATGGTGGTGGTGGTGGTAGGGACATCGTCCAAACTTCAAGAATCTGGACAATTTGGATGTTCTTTAACTTATAACTCATATTACTGGCCATAATCTTATTTAATGTGCAATTCATGTGGTGAGGGAATCTCTTCAAGTACAGTGGCATCATAAACCAGTTTTTTTTGACTTCGAAATTACAAAAGAGATCTTACCATGTGGTCGAAATGGCTGTTCTCACGATAGGTGTGGTGATTTGACTCAATGTAGAGTGAAGATCTCAAGGAACAGTAATACATCCTGTTCCTTCTTATGATGCATCTAGTTTTCTTTTACAATTTAGAACGTCCCAATAGGGGATTCATATTCCCAACTTTGATATTCTTCTTTTCGCTAACCTCAATATTCGTTAACGTTTAACGCCGCGACCTCGTTTTACTTGGCTGGCCCAAACGAATGCGAGTAGTTTTGCGTCTGCTGTTGGCTTCGTGGTTTTTTGGTAATATAAAAAAACTTTCTAATAACTAGAGTGCTTTAAGTGTTGTGAAAATGATAAAATTGTAGAAAATACCCGTTCTATGGGCATGGATGATATACATACCACTATTTACTGTGTGTTACTAATGCCCATTAGGCAGATACAAAGCTGTAAATATATGGATTTATTTTGCATCCATTTTGGGTCTGTTTCGATGCTTTTCACGTCCGCACGTTCCATACAATGACCATAATGATTGAAATTAAATGACAGAATACTTCTTGGTCATATTGTAGGAAAACAACGTTTTTTGAAAAAAGGTCTTTAATAAATCATTAGGTGTAGAGGGTAGTTTTTGTCCCACTCCTCTCATTTCGATCAGCTATCGAATAAATATACAAAAGAGAATTTTTGGAATACATTGATCTGAATATGGACGCCACAGTGTCCATACCGTCGTTTTCTCTAAACTGCCGTGGACACTATAGTGTCCATGCAGGCGTTATGGGTTAAAGAAGCGTTCTATGAACAAGAATGTAAGCATCACATTATCCACACTCGTGCAGCGTCTCATGCAACCCAACATGATAATGCTGTTTTAAACTCGACAATTTTATTGAAGGATTTCCCGATGCCGATCACCTTTTAAGTGGTCGTAGAATGTCGAGTACACTCTCATTAGCTGCACGCGTTGGCAAGTATTAATTGCTGATATTAGTCATTTTTTAATTTGAAAAGAAAAGACGAGTGACGGTCAGGCAAAGAGATCGAATCACACCTTCGTCGAAGTGGTGAGGAGCAGGTGGATGTGCCACAAAGTACAGACAGTGCGACATTCTTTGTGAGATCTTCTCTCTCCTATTATAAGTTCCCTCATTAGAATAGACTTCGTCCCTGAGCTTTCATCGTTGTCTTATTGGAGCCATTGATCAATAATTGCTGTCACCATTTCTGATAACCATGTTGTCTCCTAAGATACAAAAAACTTCAAAAAGCACGAAAATTGAAAGTATTTCTTCAATGATGCTGACCGCAGGCAACTGCGGAGGTAGAAAATAATAAGTTAAAATTGTAAAAGTATTTCGTTTAAACATCTGGAGAAAAATGGAAGAAGCATGTGAAAGTGTTTGAGGGAATCAATTAAAAACATAAGAAGAGTCGCAGAAATAAGACGACATCGACAATTTTGCAACAATTCTTAAATTGCTTCTTCAGATCCCAACATTTCTGCCAAGAGTTCGTTGCTAGACCGTTGAATGGAATTGAACTTCTCAGCAGAGTGCTCAGCGTCCTCCAAGGAATCATTAACTCCAATCAAACATCTTCATCGAAAATTTCTAACCTACTGTCAAGAAGTAATACAAACAACACAAATAGGAAACGAAAAGCTGCGGCAAGTTTTTCTTCAAAGTCGGATGTTCTGTCATTGTGCTGGATCACTAATGTAAATGTAGTGGTACCGTAACTCTAAGACACAGTAATTCATACGGTATTGAAATTCCTAGTAATTATATGGTTAAGTGCACTGGATTTTAACCTTTCTCTCAAAATAATTATTCTCTTTAAAACCACTAACTTGCTTCTATGACATAACGTTATCCATTCGCGACCTTCTTTGCAAATTTTATAATACCTGCGTTTTTCTACTAGGCTACTGTGGTCCATAGTTTACGACTTTTCTTTTTCTAAAATTATCCCATCATGGATGTTTTCAGGTAGCCGAAGCCGATTGTATCGAATGCCTCAAAATTCTCCTGGAAAAGTCGGTAAGGCAACAAACATATCAATACAAATATTTCTGCAACTTTTATCAGCACAGTATAACGGAGTTTATGCAAATATTGCTCAGCCTGGTGTTTTTCTAATAACAGGCGAGGATTTCTTGTCATTAGAAAATCTGACGAGTTGAGAACTTCACTGATTTATGGAAGAGGGGAAGAGGCCGTATAAGTCTACGAGTGATTTTTTTCTTTGTTCACCTTTAAATTTACTGAGGATTAAAATTTTTGCAACTGAAAACGAAATTTAATTAAAGCTTCCCATACAAGCGTGCCAGTCGCAGAAACCAAAAAGTGTGGAACACCATTGTGTCCTGTTGGACGAAATAGTTCTTCCTCATTTGCTTTCGTGTTCGAAATGTGATCGCTGACGAAAAAAAAAGTGAAGAAGGTTTACTTGGTTCCACAAAACCAATGGTTTTTCATGGTGGAATAGAAGACATTGTACTTTGTAGGTGTAGATCGCTAGATTCCAGTGTTTTTTTTAGGTAGTAATGATCAGAATAAGCCGAGAAATGTTGCATGTAGTTGAAATTGGTCATTATTTTTGCACAAAATGACTACATATGAGGGCATGTTTCTGCCTGAGTATTAACTTAATATCACGGAATTTATGGTAAGGTGTACTAATTTAAGTGAACTCGTTAGAGTCTACAGATTCCTGCCAATCTATGATTTTACAATAGCGAAATTCCGATCTTCCAGACTCGACAAACGCGTTTCTTCACTTTTTTTGTTGACACTCTTGTTTCAAAGACGGAAGAGGTTGAGTAAGCCGAATTTTGTTGGACAGATTATGTGGGCATCCCTCACTACATCATTTGTCTTCAAATGTCGCTGGAAATTTCCAAAAATTAAATTTCTTTCTTAATTTTCTAAAAATTTAGATTCTAAACGAATCGACACTAAACGGAACACCAAAAGTTCATATAGAAAGTCTTACAACGAAGGCGGTGGTAGAGCGTAGAAGTTTCCAGTAACGCATCACTGATTTTATCAACTACTCAATCAGCTGCTGTAGTGATCGATAAATGTTTAGCAGTTTTCGAAAAACCACTGCTGTCGCAACGTAACAACCCGAATCGGAGGTTTACGATTGAAGAGATGTAAATCAATATCAGTTTTACAATCTTCATCGTTTATGTGGCGACATCAAACTATGACGAAGAAGAACTCGAGACGTTCTGTATGAACTTGGAGAAGTTCTACAGAGACGACCATTCTTCATGACCATCCTTGGAAAATTTAATGATAAGACTGGAACCAAAAAACCTGTGGAAAATGTCACATTGGGACCCACGAATTAGAACTAAACGAGCAGGCTGAGCGCCTGTCTGAATATATCATGACGACCAAGACCATTCATGGCTTCACCCTCAACGCTGGACTTAGAAATCTCGGAGTTGAAAGTATCATGGAGAATAGACCGCGTCATAGTAAATCGAAAGTTTTGCTTAACCGATGTCTTGTTTTCCCAAAATTCTACATGGGATCACACCATCGCTTCCTTCGTACAGGATTTCGTTTTCGCGCAAAGCAGAAAATGCCGCTAAATTCAAAAGACGAAGTCTTAAAACCACCATAAACTGGGACTTATTCAATTCATTAGTCGGCTGTTGGGAATGTGCCGTTGACGATAACATAGACGAAGAATACGATCGGCTTTTTCAACATCTTCACGGTAACGCTATAAAAGCTGAGAGCTCGGAAGTCACAAAGGGAGGTCTGTCTCCAAAAACATTCAAGCTGATACCCTAGCGTGGAATCGCACGAGCTGCAGGCAACCGCTAACTGGCGTCTTTACTTGCAAACCAATGCAGACAAGCGATAAAAAAAAGTTCTTAAAGAGAGAAGAGCAGCAGTTATGGTTTAAGCTGCAGAGACTGAGAAAAGCATTCGCATAGCCCACCGAAGCTTCGCCAATTACAAAACCAAGATGATTGCACTAAGACGCTCAGGGGGAACTGTTTCGCCTCCAGAAAAGCAATGTGAAAAACCATTCACGAATACTACTCGAATCTCTTCGATAACCACGTCCACCTTCCGTTATATGAAATAAAGGACGAGAGATGGATACGTCGTACCACCGGTTTCCCTCCCGAAATCCGAAATGTCATTTCGTTTGTGAAAAATCGAACAGGACCAGGTTCGGGCAGGATAAGGCTAAAACAGCTGAAGAACCTTCCGCCAGTCCTCGCAAACACACTGGCTCGGCTCTTTACACGTTACCTGTCTGAATGCAAGGTCCCTACTCAGTGGAAGACCAACAAGACCGTGTTATTGTTCAAGAAGGTGACCTGCACGATATCGGCAACTATCGCCCAATCTGCTTACTGTCTGTCGTCTACAAACTTTCACTGGAGTCATCCTAAATAGGATTGGCAGAACACTAGACGAAGGACAGCCATGTGAGCAAGCAGGGTTTCGAAGAGGATTTGGTAATGTACCACATCTACATGGTAGCACGGCTCATTGAAGTACCGCGAGAGTACAAACGGCCGCTCTATCTCACTTTCATCCTTTGATTCAGGTCTTTGATTCAGTTGAGATAGAAGCAGTGCTGGAAACCCTTGATAGTCAAGGAGTCCCTACTCAGTACATAAAGATTTTTCGTGAGCTGTACAAAAGTTTCACAACCAAGATATCACCATTCTGCAACGATATTAACATTGACGTCAAAAGAGGAGTTAGGCAAGGCGATACCATCCCGCCACCACCGTCGAGAACGTAACGCGGGCATTGGAATGGGATAATATGGGCGTGAGAATTGTTGGTCGGCAGTTACACCATTTTCGCTTTCTGATGATATCGTCTTTATTACACCAAGCATCCAAGTGGAACGTATGCTTGCCGAGTTTGATAAAGCCTATGGAAAGAATTGTCTCCGGTTAAATCTCACAGCAGCGATGTTTATAAGGGACGGATTGGTTATGTACGCCCCATTCACAATCAACGTAATGAATCTCTCCGAATGCTCCAGTTACGTCTATCTAGGTTGGGGAAATCAACAAGGTGAACAACTTAGCTTTGGAGTTAAGTAGCCAAGAAGAACGACTCGGGGAGCTTTCAAGAGCATCGAGGATGTAGTGAAGAGAACAAAGAATATCCAATTTCGTGCCAACCTTTTCGACTTAACGGTTTTTCCTGCCTAAAAGAATGCGTCAAAGCCTGTTTGATACGTAAGCAGAATGAAAATCAGTGTTATTGAAAGCGCAGTCGAAAGGACGAAGCTAGGAGTATCCCGTTTCACGCAAGTAAGGGAAGGGATCCGAAGCCATGACCTGCGTCAACGATCAAAATCAAAGACGCCGTTCTACACGTCAAGCTTTTGAAGACAGGGTGGATCGGACATGTAGTGCGCGTGAACGAAAACGGATTATTGTTCACTGGAATCCTCGGGATGTCTAACGTACTCGTATTACCACCGACCCGATGGTCATAGTTCATGCAAACGCTAGAAGAAAGATGTGATGCTCAACAAGTCTCTAGGGCTAAGAGGAGCTACTGGGTTATTCTTATACGCGACGAGGAAAAATGGAAGGTTTATTGGCACACGCTCGAGCCACTCAGCGATCAATGGAACGACAGGTGATACAGGTGATAATGGGTGTACAGTCATTGTTCCAATAGTTTGAGCGTCCCATTTTAAAATGCGAATCTGATTTGTTGTGGAGACCGTGCTCGTTGTTCAGGAACACGCTTGGCGTCGGTTTTTGGATTTGACGACTGGAATGGATGCGGTGCTTTTTGCTGTGAACAGTCCACAACTCGACTCGAAATGTTATGCAGTCGAGGTGGGATTCTGTTATGTTCTGATTTCGAAGAAATGAACAGCTAGAAATTTTAACTTGTAGATTTTGCTCTTACTACTGGATAAGCCTCAGGGATTTGTGGTACTGATGAGAGCGCTGACGGTGATGACAGCAAAGAGCCGTGATTATATTAGGTTGACGTTGTTCGTCAGTCAACTCAAGCACGGCCTTCATACCCAGAAACTTCACATACAGGTAATTTTTTGTGCTATAAATACTTAATTTATGTAGAGCAGTAAGAAAACCACCCAGAAATGTGTTAGATGCATGTGAAAAAAATTACTTGGTATCCCTTTGGAAATGTCTGACAAAGAGACCGAACACGAATGGTCAAAAGTAGTTTTTCTGTGGACGATTAACATTTACGTTAGTTTGTGTAACTGCCATCTCTAGATCCTTATCGTGCGACTTTTTAACAAACTACTGGCGACTGCACCGTCGTCGCTTCATCGTTCCCTTATTCGATCTGAAATCATACTCGCGAGATTCAGTGCAGAGTACGTTGAAAATGTAAGCGATTTGAGCGCGCACAATCTGGAAAGTTTCCGCATCGATTGCTTTATATTTAAGCTAATTACGACGCAATCAACGCCCTTTGGAGGTATGGATATTCTTGCCAATGAACTAGACTTGTGGAGATCTCTTGGCTCATCAACGATTGCTTCTTATAGCTTTGAGCAAAGTCACATTTATGGGTGAGACATTATTTATATTCTATGTTTTTGTTCTAGCTACTATTTAATAAATTGAATATTATTGGACTATCGAATTTAAGGTTATCTGAGGTAGAAAACGATAGTGCTCAAGGCGGACGCCCACGTAATGGTCGACAACCAAATAGCAAATATCCGATAGCAAGTTCATACTCTGTAGACGTATTTTTACTTACTATTTTTAACATATTCGCGACAGTACGAGTCCTAAATGATTCATGCATAACTGAAAGTGTCCAATTTCACGTTCCATTTTTGAATAGTCGATCATCAGTTTGCGGCGAACTTTATAATTGAAATGCGAATCTTCATAAGTTTTAAACCTTTGTCAAGAAAGTGAACTTATCATCTCTCACCTGATCCCCCATTAATCGTAGAGTGACTGGAGCTGAAGCTGATAAAGTCATTGTTTCTCTTCATTATTTTCGAGAGTAACCTAATAAGTTTTGCCTTCTATTAGAACTCGTGGAACATCATACATCATATGAAATTTTGGAAAAACGCCGACATCTGTTAGGCAAAATATTCGACGTGCGACGATATTGTCCACTTTGTTGTGGTGCACTCTACTGGATGACTCTCAGACCCAACGTGAGAGTGCTTCGTCTTAAATTCCGAGTTATTATAAACGATCTTGGTAATCATAGTAAATCCGGATATCCGCTCATGATGTTCATTCAGTATAACGCGTGAATCTCGAAGATTGATGCTGGGGCGCATACAGCGAGGCTTGTTAGATCTGGTGTTGGTCCGTACATTTTCGACCGTAGATCTGTGTTCCGTTATTTGTTCGAAACAGTCGGTTTCTGTATTCAAGCTTGTTTTGACGAGGACTTCAACGGTGTCGTCTATTCTACTGTCTTATGTTTTGATGATCACTTCTCCGATGTCAAAAATGGCGTTGAATGAGTGGAGCCTTCTTTTCTGGGCCAGATCGTTCATGTTGCACCGAGTCTTCTTAGTCTATACCAGTGTCAACAATAGTGTATTCTGATGCTAATGTGTTCTGAGTGCAGATTATCGCCCTAATCCTTCCTGATTTAGGCGTTTTGGAATGGCTCTGAAGTTTCAACAGTCTATTTATGCCCTTCCTACTCCCATTGCTGCCATATCGGCCGGTGTTTAGTGATCAGAGGAATGAAAGGATTCTTTCCGCATTTTTGGGCCATATGGAAATCCCTCACTAACTCCCTCGTGCTTTTTTTCACCACAGATTTCTTGCTGAACTAACATGTAGGATATAATCGGAATATCCGCAAATATTTCCCCGATAGAACGCCTTGATATGCTTGCTTACATGCAGAGGGTATATGTTAATGTCGCGCAGCAGGGAGCCCATCCCTCAATCAACCGGAACCTCACAACAAGAAAACACATGATCGGTTTTAGTCTACGTTTATACTATATCGCGCCACATAGCTTTGAGACTAATCGGCTAGAGCATACTGTGATTAAAGGTACGAAACGAAATATAGGTTTAGTCATTCTACCTCGAGCCAGCTTTTGCTTTCTAGAGCTCTTTTCTTTAGAGGCTTGTATCTCGAGCGGCTAGAATATTGATTAAGCACATTTTCGTTCAGCATGATACGATGATGTCTACGAATGCTTCGCTCATATCAGCGTCTACTGTACTCTTTGAAATATCCTGAAAAAATTTATTGTATTGGTATTTTTAATCTAAATCGAATTAAAAATTTGAATCCAAACTACCAACTTGGAAATTAAATTTGTTAACTACTCGTTTAGTTAAGTTCCTTCAAAATATTCTATACATCCTTTACAGCCATACAATTATAGATTTATGTAGAGGGCAAGAATTTCTTCTGAAATCTTCTGAAGTCGTCGAGCCGCCAACAACTCTGTTTATAAAAAAAATTATTGACGGTTACATAAAACGGTTGCGAATATGTTGAAATGTAGGTCATCAAATGTAGGTGAAATCATCGATATTATGAAAACACCGAAGCAAAAAATTTCAGGCTAGTACCACAGTGACGAAGAACGTCGAACGGCACCGTTTCAAGAAGCAAAGCGGAGCGACTTTTGGTGAGCGCTCATCCGCTGCTGGACATTATCCGGAAGTTGATCGAAACACATCCAATGCTTTCTATCCAGATCGTCGGTCGCTGACTTTGTCTAACCGCGCTTGGCAAGGTCGCTCTAATTGGTTCATCACCTTGATTATTGTCTAACATCCCTTTTCAGGGAATAAAAGACTGCAGTTTAATGGTAGGTAAATCGGCAGTGTATGAAAAGGCAAAATTTGCTCAATGGCGAAAGTAAAGGTGGAGGGTATTTGTGAAGATTCTATAAGACTTCTTATTATAACCACATATATGGCGGTCCGGTTCGGTATGCATCCGTCATGACAGACCAGCATTCGGAAATTTTAGAACGCCCTTCAATCATTCGTCACTGTATATCGATCAGTTGGGTGATTGGATTGAATCTTTAGATCATCATCTCATTCGTAGCAAACAACCGGCTTTTATAGATTATTGTATAGAGGGTTCCGTGAACCTTCTTCTTTTTTATTCTTTCAAAATGCTATTCTAGAAACTCCAAACTCTCCACTGTTAACCCGTAGCAGTTATACAACAGAGAGAAGAGCTCCAAGTGGAATGCGCAGGGCCAAAAGTGAAAGTGCAATGCTTGGACCGGAAAAGTAAGTGCATCTGAAATACTTGGGTTAAAAATCGCGAAACATCAACTGCTGTTGCTTTTTTGAATTAAACTCTCCGTTTCATATTGATTGCTTAACGGAAATATAACCCGATTAGTTAGTTAAGGGCAATGGCCCAGTTTGTGGGGATAACTAGAGAGTCCTCGTCAACGATTTTTATGAACAACCACTTTGTATAAAGATATACGAGAGAATTTAGGAATGACAGTGCTGATAGTCTACCACGACGTTTAAAACGCTGCACCAATTATGAGCAGCAAATTTATCATCCCATAGAACATACGAAGGCCATCTCAAAAAGGTATCTGTTTGAGCTGCTTTGGCTGATATAATTTGTTACCTTTCTAGGTTTTCATTCAAACGCAATAGCTACCTGGTGTTTTATTTTTTTTTTCAGAAATTTGTAATCAAAAGAGCTGCGTTTTTGTTCGGTATTAGCGCGTACGTGACTGCATATATTGATTTCAGTGCAAGCCTATGGTATTTCTGAGTAGAAGTAAAGCTCCATTGAAAGAGACTGCTATTAAAGTGCTGCTCGTGTTTCTCACCGACTATTTTATACTAGAGTAAGCAGTAATTAAGAGCTTCGTTCGTACTATTCTGACAGACCTCTTTGTGTAGTATAGTTAGGAAAGGAGAAGTTAAAGAGAATGTGAAAATTGTAGAACCGACGCTGACCATGGTAATTGCCATGAACTAATATGATTTTTCTATAATGCTTTCAAAGTACGTGCACTATCATTGAAAATATCAATACATCACTTCCAGATATGAGGGCGATCAAATGTGGTATAGTTGAGCTTATAAGGTAAAGTATACCAGATGACATCTACCTAAATACAGAAACACTGATTCGAGTCTGCCATCAACCAACTAGCCAAATGGATCAGCTTCTTTGTCGTCACGCCTGCTTCTACAGAAGTCAATCCTTTTGGAGATTTGAGAGACAGGGGAAGCGAAGGACCCGCATGATGTCGTGGTGAACGCGTTGGCCCCGTATCAACGCGTTCGTTGCCCACCGCAGGCACCTACTGTCCGGAGTTTTGCAAATATCTCGGCATCATTGTGGCTGTACTTCGCATCATACCCTGTCGAGAACATTTGTATTAGGCAGCAAATAAAAAAGTTAGCATTGTGATTTCAATCCTTTTGATTAGCTTCCTAAGTAATTAGTTTAATTTTAACTGTATTCTTTCTACTTTTAATTGCTATTTAAAGGGCGAATGAGGCGCAATGGTCGGTTCTCAACATCACGATACTTGATACTTGATACTTGAACGGCCCGTCATCACTAATTGTGCGGGACCCAGCATAATCACCATTTTTCGGAGATTTCCTGTAAAGCCATTGTGGATCTCGAGGTGCTCCAGGTCGTCACCACGACAGGCAGTCGCATCCCTTGTGGATTGGAGGGAGATTTACTACCATGCGACTGGTTTGATACCAGGATGGTGGTAGGTCCTGGTATTGGTTTACTTTTAGCTAGGCTTCCTTATGGAAACGCCGGACTCCTCTCGGTTTGGGAGACTTTGCCGGGGGACGAATCCACCCGCTGTACATCGCAGTCTGACACCCAGGAACACCTCCCAGCCAAGTTGAGGCGGTAAACCGTTAGGAGGTGCCAACATCACGATAAGGCTGTCATTTCTAGAAAGGCGGTGGAAAATAACTTCACAAAATATCCACCGCAATAGTGAACCTTACCTCTGATGAAGGACAACTACTGAGCAGTGTTTACATAGGACGTCGTTTGAGTGCCTTTTTTATTCATTTTATACTCTAGTTATGTCAATTGAAGCATTATCCGAAAATATGTCAAAGTTTCGTGAACTGTTGTTTCTGTCTTTCAGCAGAAATCTAACGCTTTTTGCTTTAAGTCACCGTCGATATCCATCCAACTTTCATTGTGTGCTTTCGTCAGGTTTGATATTTCTAACCAAATTTCTTCTCTGTTAACATATCGGTACTCTCTATACAAAAGATCGGCCCGATGGGAAACTCTAAAGGTTTCGGAGTCTACATTTAGAATTTTTGGAACTTGACCATTCGCTTCTCATCAGCCTAGGACTTATTACGTACTCTGTGGAACAAATGTTAGTTGACATCGATGAGGAATGCGGAGCAATAGAATTCAATCTTGCTGTGCCAAATGCAAACTCATAGCTGAACATGGAATTTCAATGGTGGAATATCAGTTATGCTTCAAAAAATGAGCAAGTTGTGAGCTGAACACTTAATGCAACACAGTTGATGCACGGGAACCATCACTACTGTTAATCGAGTAACTATGCGAGGCAATAGTTCTACAGGCTTCCTCCCATAAACTCTGAAGACGTTTGTGATGTTCCTCGCATCCTTAGAGAAAAGAGGCCCTACTAATCACCTGGGAACCAAGTAGAGATGCGTTGCTTTCACGCACTCAAGACAGTAGAGTGTGTATTAATTTAATAATGTGTTTGTAAACACTCTGCAGCAGCTCCATACCTAACATTATTGTAGTGAAGAACTAGAATAGTTAGCGGTTGGTGAACGAATTCGATGACCAATGCATAGCTTCAGCTTTACTCTGCGCAGCTTCATGTTGAAAACATGATTGAGTCTTCATAAGCCATAAATTGATTATAATGTAAGCGAATGGTAATGAGAAAGCTTCATGAAAGCCTTTCAGCATCCATGATGTATCAGTTCGTGGAGAAGCGCCAACGACGATGTTCCAACGTCCGAACTCGACTCAGCCGTCCTCAGCACACTCTCAGAGCCGAAAACTGAGGAGTGGGACTTCATCACCTGTTTTTTCACAAGAAGACCATGAAACGAGGTAATTCCATTGAATTAATTTGATAACTTTGGTTTATTTTTGACCTCATACCTACTACTCGATTTCATATCTCGGTATTCTTAACATGGACAAGGAAGTATTGTAGCCTCTATCTCTCTTTTTCTTTCTCTTTCTATCCCTTTCTCTTTCTCTTTCTCTTTCTCTCTCTTTCTCTCTCTCTTATGGGTGAACAGGAATTTTTGTGAACTAGCTGAATTGCTGACTTTAGGATAAGAGTGGACCGCTCGCCTCCACGGGCGCATTACACAAATCCAACTTCGCCCCGTACTCGTTTTGCTGAACCCGTTATTGTTGAGGCCCAGATACCCCATGTAGGGTTCAGCTACTTATTCCCATCCCAACCAGTCGTCGCTAGCTTTGTGTCCAAGAGAACGGTCACTCCGGATCATCATCACAGACAGGTTGTCATCCAAGAGACAATTTATTCCTGTTTCTAAACTCGTATCATGTTTAGTCAAGTGTGCGAACGCAGTCTCCACCTCGAGCAATGTTACCGAGTCCGACAGCACGACCAGATTTTGATTCAAGGTATATCTCTATAATTATGAATGTAGTATTGAAAAGTTTCTGTTTTTTTTTTGGAATACGTCCGATAATAAGAAATATGAGTACAGTGAGCACAAATACAAAACTCTTCGAAAGCGCTCTATAAACTGGAAGGAATTTATTTTGAGGTTTTTTATAGATGCTCCCATTCTTAGGAAAACTTAGGTAACTTTTCTGACGTTTTACGATAGGAAGTAAGGCATCCTGATAATCAGTATGGAAAATGTGTAAAGCATTCCACACCAATTCTTGGTCATCCTTTTCTGACTGTCTCTAACTTTCGCAGTTTATTTATTACAATTAAAACTCGTATACTAATAATGATCAGGTGATGTACACTTGGACAGATATGGGCACTAGACGCTCGGATAAAATTAGGTCATCTGTACTAATATCGTTTATAGATTAATGTTTCAAAAGATGCTTGCTAGAGTTTCGAACATTTGACAAGCATTTTTAGTTGTTATGGTCGAAATGACGAAGCTTTTTACGCTACTGACTCACGAACAAGTAGTCGAGCCAAAGTACTCAGTCCAAGCATTAACGGCGGTATAGGTGGGTCGTAAATTGTGCATTAGAATCAGATTATCAACTGTTATTCAATGGCCTTATTTTATCCAGAATATTAAGCATTCATCATTGCCTTTGACTGTGCTGATAGGATAGTTTGAAAGTTAATGTAACACGAACACCACGAATCCTTAAAATTAACTAAAGATGAATATGTAAAGTACAACTACAAGAATACCGAGATATGAACAAAACTCGGGACATCATTTGGACTTCAAATCTCCAATTACCCCTACCTGGGCCTCACGTGTCCACCACCATGCCTACTGAGGGACTTGCTGTGCTTTTCTCTCAGCCAGGTTTTTACTCCACCGGTGCTATCAGCAATAACCCGCCAACGGGAGTGGTTTGGGGAGCACAAATCGGCAATGAACATAGCTGAGAGAAACTAAAAATCAGGGTTTCGGTCAGTATTGTTGATAGCATGTTAGCTAAAGGTGAGTTTAATTGCAGGTTCGAAACCCAACTTAGTGTCCGAGTCTTGCTCAAATTTCAGCATTCTCGTCGTTGTGTTTTACGTATTACCCTGCCATAAAGAGAGGCATTAAATAAAAATTAAAGCATTAAAAATATCTGTTTGAAAGAGCACTGTTCGGTGAACATTCGTTATTAGGAAAACAAGCATCTTCGGCCTTTTCGAATTTTTGCCCCTTGTTTTCAAATAAAGTTTGACATTTTTCACGTAGGAATTACACACCACCTTAGAAATCAGCTTGAGTACACATTCTTATACTACTCATACTTTTCTTTCGTACTAACTTCTGCTCACCTTAAGGAGTTGGAGTGAAAATGGAGGTTAGGCAAACTAGATCGGTGTTTTTTGCATCATTCCGAACTTAGATGTAAATTCATTAAACGGGTGCTAATATCAATATTACATTTAACGAGAAAACTGTGGATGGTAACACCATGTAGCCTTGATTTCAATAGTTTCGTAATGAAGATGAGGATCTCGAAGATGAGAAGAGTCGAAGACATGACTTGCGGTTATCGACGATGATGTCGTAAAGACGTTACGCACAACAGTTCTGGAACGGTTTCGATAAAACTCACTTGAATTCGAGAGGTAGAAAAAATCTTAAAAAATGAAGGTCGCATATCGAATTGAATGGACGGCAGAGAGATCATTGTTATCAGGAGTGTTTCCTTCTTCTTTACGCAGCAAAAAAACTATCTGTTCCTTCATAGCATTTCTACGTTCAGGGGAAAAATGGGCAGCACTTCCGACAGTAAATTTGCATCAAGAAAAGGTGGTAGGAGAAGTTTTCTGGTCGGCAGATGTAATTCATTCGCTATAGTGTCTGCGATCTTGGCGTGACCATTAGTGTAAGGGTGTACTATTAGGAAATCAACAAACGACACCATCAACCGCAACGTTTGCAACCAGCACTGATCAATCGACTGCGACTTGTCCTGTCAGACATGCAATCACAAGTCTCACAATCAACACTGTAAAAGTTGCCAGAACGGTAAAAGAGGACTTCGATGACGACTTATCCACCGTAACCAACGAACCTCTTACGGACAGGCTACTAGTGTTTGGAGAAAGTTGGCAGCTATTTGATAGGAAGATCTCTAAAGTCAGGTCGCATCTGAAAACGCATCCAAGGAAAGTTTATGTCCGCGAATCCTCAAATCTTGTTGTTATGAAATAAATAGGCTTGTTACTGACTGAAGAACCATTTTGGTTTTAATGGTTCTCATTTCGATCAGCTGCAATTTCCAGTAAGCTGAAGAAGTTATGATAAAAATTGCAGGTTGAAAACCTAAGTCATTTTTTGGGATATTCATAAATCGATGACGAAACTTCTATTGATACTACTTGCTGTAAGGACTTGGTTGCAGGGCTGTTATCCGGTTGAATATCTATGTTTCGTCATACATCACTTGTTGCGTTCCTTCATTTGTTCATCTCCTTAATTAGTGATGAAGGAGAAATAAGTTGTCCAGTTTCCAACTAGTTAGAAAAGTAATTACCACCTCTAATTGGAATCCCTATCGATTATCTTAGTGGGGTGCTCGAGAAACCAGTTTACACTCGTTATTTGCCAGTTTTACCTAAACTCATCACTCCGTGGTCTGAATTTCTTCTCGCCTTACGATCCACCAAAAATAAGTCCTTCTTAAATTTAGTCAATTAACAGTATGCCAATTCGGATTTTGATCGAGTGTCTTCCGCCAATAAATTTTTTTCTGTATAGATTCGACCGGATCATTAATTACTACTAAATTTTCTTTGTTATGATTCAATCAGTGTTAGTTATCACTGTTGGCTCAATTTGTCACTTATTGACCTGTTTGATGCACTAAGTTTCATCCTACTTTCACTACTTAGTGGGTGTATAATAGCAACATGTTACGTAGTATTTACAGGGGATGATGTTCGGGACGCTTTGAGTCAGTTCGACTATCTGAATGACTACGAGAACTCGAGTTTACGCGAACGTGGACGAGAAGCTTCCTATCACTTCTAGTTCACGTTCCTCATGGATTGTTCTGAAATAATATCCTCTAATATCGAAGGTTCTAAGATTAGTGATTCGCTTTAGCAAAGAGTAGCAATTAAGCAAAGTAGAGCATTTATTAGTTTCATGAGGCGTCATATCAAAAATTGGCAAGAAATTCGAGCTTGTAAGATCTGAGCAACTTGTTATGTTCGTGCAACGGTCTTCTATAATGCAAAGTGTTCTACCAAAAGTCATATAGAAGTGCAGTCATTATAAACTTGAATATTTTCGTGTGTATAATATTTTGTATAATTTGAAAATAAGCGATTTAACCTAGTAATATAGTTAGCTTTTCTTGTCAAAATGTCTCCAATGGAAAATTCAATGCTCAGTCCGACTTAATGTCCTGTTCGACCTCCTCTGTTTGATCTAACTATCTTTAAATTGCCATTTTTTTGGTCGTACCTATGTTCTTCAGACAGCGTTATGTTTTGGTTTCAAATTTGTAGTAAACATCGTTTTGTGATTAGCGTTTTGGACATATTACTATTTATTAGTTTTCAATTGATAGATGTTTCAGATTGGGCGCGTGTGGCGCAGTGGTTGGAGGCGCCACTGCGACACACACGTGGAGTTGATCTCCGCTCCCGTGATCCACCAAGCTTTCCATCCCTCCGGGGTCGGCAAATTGGTACCAGACTTGTCTGGGAGGATAGCAGCACTGGCTCGACACATCGGTATGCCACTGCGAGTTATTGTAAAGGCCAGATATGCATTCAATCACCTCCATCGATATTTAACGAAGCCGAATGCATGGCGCATCCCTCAGGGAATGATCTACGCCGAGAGCTTTATCCTTTATCCTTTACACGTTTCAGACTGGTAATTTAGTATTATCCTTCCCAAAGAAAAAAAAAACAAAAAGAAGAAGAGATGACAGGGCAACGCTGATAAAACGCATGCAATGGAAGAGAACAATATATTTTGCAATACTAAAAGAGAGCCTGAAACATTTACACTAACACGAATACGCTATATTTATGGCTCAGAAGTGCTTACCGCGGAGCTCTCGGATGTCCGAAAGAAGATATGAGGTATTTCCGTCCATTTGTTCAAGTCAAATAATGAAAATATGTTTTTTTCTAGGTCCTTTCACTAGTTGAATATTCTCGGTTTCCTCTCCACATTTGACAAATCCATGCTATCACTCGCAGCCCATTTACATTTTTCTGAAACTTTGAAGGGAAGACGGATGAAAGGCGAATGAGCGCGCAATCATTAACCAACAAGGTCATCAAGTCATTGTGAGTGTTAAGTGTTATCCAAACATAGCATATTGATCGGTTCGACTGGCTAGAGTAGTACACCTCGAATATGTTGATGAGATAAAAGATAACAGCGATATATACAACAACAAAACACTGCTCTAAATGGCAGTTGTACAGCAATAAACTGGGGCACAAATGAGCGATGGCGGCGAAGCCACCTAGATATTTCTATAGAGCGGCTGTGGCGGTGCCGTCGGCTCATAGCTCCACGGAGGCCAGGTGAAGTCGAAGCAACAACACATAATCCGATGGTGTCGTATTGGGCGAAAGAAGTCAGGTGGCGTACCTGGGCGAACGTCATGGGATTGTTGTGTTATCGGTATACGTCTGGGCGGTGATTCGAAACCACCACCACCACTGCCTCCTCCACCGCCATGCGACTCATAGTTATAATTAGATTGAGCTTGATATTTAGCTGCACTTCCACGAACGTTACCGTCAACATATCGCCCGTCTTCGCGATACATTTCACGACCATTGTCACGACCATAGCCGGTGTATTCGTCTGATCGTCCGTAGTCGCGTCGAGAACGTACAGGATCAATTGAGATATTAAGATTGTGTCGTTTCGACGATGATGCGGATTTTGGAGAGTAACCCTCTGTTTTGAACAGATCACGAGGATTACGTGATCTGTCATCGTTATTGCGCCGTGGCAACCATTCGTTGCTTCTTGTCAGCACTCTCGGAACTCTCTTCATCTGAATATTAGACTCACGTGGATAAGAACCATTTCGGGCAGCAGTATCGAACTGTCCGTTCCGCTTGTCCTCGTTCCTCATGAATGGTGTGTAGATATCTCTCTCGTAGTTATAGTTTCTCTCGTTTCGGTCCCGATGAATTGGAATGCTGACGCCACGGCGATCATCGAAGAACTGTGGCTCTTCACGAAAACCATCGCGATAATCTAGTGATTTACTCCTGTAAACAGTGCCTTTCTAAAGTGAATATTTTCAAATCCAACATTGTAGGTTACTTAAACAACTTTCAAAACAATGTACACGCAAAAAACAATGAATCACTCCATTGCTAAACAAGTTTTAGAATTGACAGCGCCCACCACTCTAGATTGAAAATAAGAATTTCGAAGTAAATTTGGTATATAAAATGTTTTGGAAAAGTCAGTTGCTTAAAAAAAAACATACCGGAGCGATTTCTCCAGTGGGCGCCCGCTGTTGTGAAATTCTGAAGGAATAAATTCAGGATCAAGTCTAGTGTAAGAGCGCGCTCGCTGTTGCGGGTATTCATTTCTAGCGTAGTTCAGAAATTCGTTGGAACGATGTTCAAGATCGCGGTAATCGTGATAGTCTGGGTAGTCGACATTTTGATAAAACTCGCGGGGAGGGCGGTCGTATTCGGGCCGAAACTCCATACCATCAGAGCACGGCCAGTAGTAATGCAGCCGTCGGTGGAAAGAAGTTGTTTTAATGTAAAATGGTTGGCCGTTTAGGCAAAGTGATTTGCAGCGCTAACGCTGTTTTTGGAGTGTAGCGACGGTAATGGCAGTAGTAACCGACGTGGCAGCGGCACGAAAGGTGGGCCGATCTGGGCGGCTGACCGAGCGCTGATGCCGATGGTTGTAGCGCGGGAATGCTTAGGAATTCACATTTGCGCCGAAGATGTCAAATAAAAACCAGCACTGCAATGGTCTCGGGTGCCGGAACATGTTTCATCATCGCTATATGCCCTAAAGTACAAAAAGTTAAGAAAAAACTCTTTAAGTTACTGAGGCGTCGTCATGCTAGAGCCTTCACTCATCATTGCAACTTATCCACCGCTTTCAACTAGATTGATTTGTTCTCACTTGTAAAAATGTTATTTGACGACGACGGTTAAAATCAATTATTTCATCGTTTTGAAATCGCGGAACATTACCACTTTCCACAAAGTTAACTCATTTGGTATTGATTGTTGTCCAGTCCGAATTAGGACATAAGGGAATAAGGAATATGCAGATGATGCCTTATTAATATCCATTTTATTATATGACCTAACATCATATGTGCCACAATGTGTGGTCTTCAGCACTTTAACATTCGGTTCATTTCTTCACATCCACCATCAGCGAAGGTCTTCGATCTTTTTTTGAGTATTGCTTCGGCTGCTGCTTGAAAACTTTTTCATCTTGTTCACAAATTTCGCTGAACTCTGGTCAAGTGGATGCTCGCTGGAATCCTGAGATGGCAGCGCCGGGACGTATTCGCGTGATAGATGCGAGTGAGCTTCTCCCAGACTGGCCTGGTATCAATTCCCTGACCGCAGAAAGACGAATGGCCTGGTTGGCCCGAAACGACGAACCAGCGATAAGGTACATTTAATGAACGGAATCAATACCGTTACCCTACCCGCTTCCTTGTTGATACATTATATAAATAGATATATATATTCGAGTATATGTATATATACAAATATATATGACAGAAAATACAATAATTATTAGTTATTTGGATACTTGGATGGCCTTTCCTCACTGGTTGTGCGGGGTCCCAGTATAATCTCCATTTCTTTGGAGATTTAATGCTATAGCCTTTGTGATTCTCGGAAATCCCGAGATCAACCTAGCCAAAGTCTACCCGCGGTCGTCACCACCGCAGGCAGTCGCAGCCCTTGTGGATGAGAGGGAGATTTACCACCATGCGACTTTGATACCATGACGGCAGTGGATCCCTGGTATTGGTTTACTCTTAGCTAGGCTTCTTGATAAAAACACCGAACTTCTTCTCAGCTCGGTAGACCCAGCGGGAGGATGAATCCCCCCATTGTATATCGCAGGCCGACACCCAGAACACCTCTTAGCCACGATGGGACCGTAAACCGCTGGAAGGAATAGAAGACAATGACACAAAACACGTCAACTACAATAATTACAGCGTTGAAATGAAAGAATGCTGTTAATTAACGACTTTATTTGCAGGCAATAGCACGCAGAAGCTTTGATTGCTTGCAGGAATTTTTTTTCCGTCGGAAGACGAACGTAACCTGAACATTTTACCGTTTTTATTTTCACAAATTTTAACCTCGACCTGTATCGGAGTTTATGATTCTAGGCCTCACTTGTTTTCGAACACTTTGCTTACATTGCTAGATTTCTTTGTTGGGAAGAAGAAGAGGAAAGAGAAATTTTTATTCTATAGTGTGTATTTAGAGAACATAGAGGAAACAATGAGTTTAACGCCAAATCTAAAACCAACGAGATACACATGTAATATTCCTAAACGGGGCGGTTTTCCATTTGCATAACCATGTAAATTCAATACTCCTGAATAGCGTGAATCACTTGTTCGTTTTGTGTGAAGACACAGGAGAAGGTTTGCTATAGCTCTCTCTATCGGCAAAACTGATGTGTTGACGTTACTGAAATAAAAGGCAAGAGTCGTTCAATACTTTTTGAACTCTCCTATTTCACAAATAGTGAGGCAATTTCAGTGTACTGGGGAGGAACAGCTTTTGACTGGCCATCATATCTAATCGTAATTGAAACGTTATAAGTTGAAATAGTAACCACTAGAATCTAGAGATTTTTGTATACAAGGACAAGTCTTTTTATTCTACCTAGATGGAATTCTGATTTGCTGGGGCCCACATGTTTCCGTTACCTTGTTCCCTCAAATCTCGTATTTGGAATGCAAAACGAGTTGACCAGCATGATTTCGTCGAAAATGATACGATATGTTCAGGGAACCTTCCTTCGTAACAAATTTAATGTTGAAAGAATGCTTTATAAAAATCAGCGCAACTGAGACAATAGACCAAAGTCTTTTACGAAAACGTAGCGTTCTGAGTTCCTCAAATGATTGAACTTTGTTGGTTGAGAATTTCTTGTTTGTTGTCGAAAACCTGCTCCTGGTGTTATTTATTAAACTAGTCATGAGACAGCAGCTTTAGGACAAATTGACATGTCTTTCTTTCAATTGGCCTTAGAAATGAAGCACGTTTATTCTCGCAACGACGTAATGTTAATTGAACTAGTCTATATTAAAAATAAAAATGTGAAAGATGTTGCATTAAAATAGCAGTTTTCTTGTAAGAATACGAAAACCGTGTGGAATTACTTGCATCCTTGTGTCGTCGCTATGGCCAAGTAAGTTCCACTTGGTTGACATTGTACCGTTTTGCAAAATATTTTTGTTGAAATTGGATTTTGGACAAGGAAAGACAGATGCTTCATTTCTCAAAGATATCATTTCTATAATTGAAAGGCAAAAATGACAACAGATTTGCATACGATGCAGGAAGAGGTTCGTAGAACACGGTGATGACATGATGACGACCACAATCACCTTACCACGTGGTCATGTAGTGGACTTGGTTATCGTCGCAATAGTGAATTGAGGATCGAACTCGTTCCAGCCATACGGGTTAAGTGTTTAGCAACTTGCATCCATCCCTCGTAGTTAAAAAAAGTTGAAGAAAGTCTAATGAAAAAAGTTAAAGCAACGGTCAAATTTTTAAAATTCTTGGTTAAAGAAAGTCATCGCCCAATGCATTCAATGTCGTCATCACATCATGCTGGATGAAATCCTATCAATCGTTCCATTCTCAAAATGCGGATATGGGCCAAGGAATTCAACAAAACACTAGTTGAGTGTTTCAGAAAGTCAGAATTTCAACGGGATAGAACACGGAAGATCGCACCTTGTTATGAATTTGATCAGTGAAGCTCAGTAGAGCGAGTGGTAAAGGTGTCAGTTTTTGTTTAAGATTTTAATAGAAAAAGCAAAAAAAGGTGGTTGGAATTAAAAATAAGGGTTTAGAAGGTTAACCGAAAAACCCAAATGCTTTGTGTGTTTTTTCTTGTTTGTTTCAGAAAAACAAATAACCCCTTGAGTAAAAAAAATTACTTAAAAATATTACTTTCATAGCATCCTCTTTTTCGCCTATACATCAAACAATTTTTAGAGAGAACCTTGTTAGATGTCCAGGATTAACATTCATATTTTTCTCAGCTTCTCCTCTAAATTGTGGAAGTCCCACTTAAGTAAATAGAAGTGTAGCATTTCGTTAAACTCAAAACCTCTGTGTACATAGGAGGTACAGATATATAAGTAGTTTCAATATCGAGAATGACGTTAAAGTATCGTTCACAATTCTTATCACTTGAAGAAGCCGCCCAGCCATGAATACCCGACTGCAGCCGTGATGCAGACCTAAGAGAATACAACTTTTTCATTCAAAATGTTTTCCATCTTATAAATCTGCTGTCTTCTTTTTTACAGCAATCGCCAGGTTATTATTTAGCACACGTTTAATTCCTCACAAATATAACACATACAACACAACGGTAGCTGACGTTTCGGCAGTATCGCCTTCTTCAGAGCCCGGAAGGGTACACTAATATGCAATTTACCAGGTCAAACGTTTCAACAACGCAAACAGAAAGATGAAAATCTGAACAATAACTACACGATCACCGGCTTCTCGAAAAACCCACCGTTTTTATCTGTTTTCCACCAAGGAAGAACAGCCGCTTAGAGTCACATATGGTTGAATACTGCACTACCCCATATCCAAAATCAGTTCTGAGATACGGGGCTAGATCATGCATTATCTCAGGGCATTCTTTTCTGCTATTCATTTTCGGTTTTTTAGAATTCATCTAAAAAGCCTCTAGAAATTTGCGGATTGGTGTTTTAGTCTCCCGTGCGGTGATAGCTACTTTTACATCAAAATCGTCTCCGCTATGCTTTTGAATCCTATGCGTGCCTAGTGGAATACTTTGTCTTAGTTTTCGTTTGCCATCTAGGTGTTCTTTTATACGGATACACAAAGGTCTGCCCGTTTCGCCAATATATTCATCTCCGCAATTGTTACACGAGATCAGGTATATCGTACCTGAACTCATGCAATCACCGTCCCTGCCGTAAGGGCAAATTACGCAATTTGTTGTTTCACACAGACGGTCATACAGGCGGTTGCGAACTAACTGACGAGGAAGAGTATTCGGTGGTATTTCAATTATCGGTACCGATTCCTTTAGATCTGCCCCTCTTAAGCATCGCTTTATCTCTATACTTATTTCATCGATAATGAAGGGCAAGATAAACGGGATTTTGCTTCGTTCAAACCCTTCGTTTTGGGGCGTCGCTCTCCTTCTAAACTTATCTCGTGGGGTTACTACTTCGTAGCCATTGGAGATGGCTATTTGCCGAGCCAAGTCGCGCGACTCTTCCTTTAGTTCTCTGGTTGTGCGTACAGTGGTGGCCGTTCGAAACATATTTCTCACAAGCGCCCTCTTTGTGTGTCAAGGGTGAGAAGAAAGGAAACGAACGAGGATGTTCCTGTTACTTGGCCTTCGGTAGCACTTTGTCATGTAACCGCTACTTGACAGGTTTATTTGAACATTTAAAACGGAAGCCAGTTTCTTCTGGGTTT